ATGAATGGGTGTACGAATAGATGAATAGACAAACAAGTGAATTTTCAGCAGACATCTGTGTACTATCTTACAACTACTGAATTTCACACATTGGGAAACAATGGTGAAGCAGGAACACTGGACTCATTAGCCCACCTCCCCTGACAAGGAAATTTGTGGGTTTGGAGCTCATGAGTGGCCGGCTGACATTGGAACCAAGACCTTTTTCCTTCTGATTCTGGCTGTTGGCACCTCACTGCCCCTTGGCTGCCTCCAGACCACTGGCATTCTCCTTAGCGCTCATGGTGGCCGATGATAAAGAAAGTTTTGTAATCTAGAGTTTATGTATTGGAAAGTTCATGGCTTATGTCCATCAGTGGCTGAACCCATTTTAAGAACAGCCATTTAATTTACCAAAAACGTGATGCATGAGCCTTGCGTGATTTTTTTTTTCCCCTCTTAAATGGAACATAGGTGGGGTCTTCAGAAATCAGAAGATGCAGGAAAGCTGCCTAATACACAATCAAGTATTTTGTTGACAGACCTAAAGCTTGTGGTTAGTCTGGCTCAGAATCAAGAACAAAAGAACTTCTCAGAAATAATGGCCTGTCTTCTCTGCTTGGGGTACATTCCAAGACCCCTAGTGGGTGCCTAAAACTGCAGAGTATACTGAACGCTATATATGCTGTATTTCTCCTGTACATACACACTTATGATAAAGCCTGATTTATAAATGAGGCCAGTAAGAGATTAACAACAATAACTAATAACAAAATAAAACAATTCTAGCAATGCTCTACAGTAAAAGTCATAGGAATGGGATCTCTCTCTGTCAAAATATCTCATTGTACTGGACTTACCCATCTTGTGATGGTGTGAGATGATAAAATGCCTACATGGTGAGACGAGGTGACGCGAGTCAGGCACTGTGACCCAGCGTTAGGCTGCCGCTGGCCTCCTAACCATAAATCAAGAGGATTCTCTGCTTCTCGACCGCAGTTGACTGGAGTCGCTGAAACCTCGGGTTGGGAACCCTGGGATAAGGGGAATCAACTGTCATGCATTCAAAACATGAATCCTGTGTGTCCTTGAGTCTCCTTCAAGCGATAAACAACCTTGTGTTTCCACCCTGTGCAGGCTGGTAGCTCTGTGTCCAGGACCAGGCGTGCGGTCCTCCCCTGGAGGAACATTGGCCAGGAGGACTGCTGGCTGTGAAGGTCATGGTGGGGAGCCACAGGGAAATGCAGGACGGTACCCCGAAACACAATCTGGCAGAAGACCTGTTTGAATTCATATCTGTTTATTTGTGTTTATCCGATTCTCCTAATAGTCTGTAAGCTATCCCAACTTTGTTTTTATCTCCACACCTGGATCAAAGCCACACACACGCCAACACCTGGATCAAAGCCACACACACACACACACACACACCACACACCATGGGACTTTAGATATAAAATTACTGAACTGAATGCATCAGAGCAAAATTGAGCTCAGTGCGAAAGGCTATGCACTGAGAAAATGCAACTCCTGATTCTCTTTGCCGTACAACAACACGCACACCCCCCCAAGGATACATATGAAAATGGTATGAGGCCAAAGTGCGCACACATATTAATTCTAAAATGTCTCATCATGCCAGTTACGGTGTGTAGCACGCTATCTCAAAACTTGGTGGTCTAAGGCAGCCGCTCGGGTATTTTGCTCAAGAATCTGGAACAATTGGACAGGTCCAGGCTCTTCTCTCTCCTAGCAGAAGGCTGGGGGCTCACATCCCTAAATGCCTGCTCATTCACATTTCTCACCCGGGGGGCTGGCTTTTGGCCAAGATGGGGACAAAGTACATAATGTACAGTGTCCAGTGCAGAATGACAGCATGGAGCCCCTTGTCGAAACTCTATTAGGCATTTGACAAAGGTGGCAGCCGGCCACGAAACCAAGCACGGACCTCTCCCCAGGACAGGTCCAACCCCGGGAATCAGTAGCCCGGGAAATCAGCCCCGGCTGAGACGTCTGGTGAGGCTGTCCCCCTCAACGCCTACACGTGGCCTCTCCACTTGGCTTGGGCTCCCCCACAGCATGGGGCATGGGCTTCACAGGCGAGCTTCTGGCAAGAGAGAGCAAAACCAGGTGAGAATCACATCACTCCCCTAATCTGTGCTCAGAAGTCACATGGCATCACATATGAGGTATCTCTTCATCAGGGCAGCTGCAAATACACGCCTGCTTTTAGAAGGTGGCTGGTGAGGTTTCCTGTCCTGGCGAGGAATGGCGAGCTTCTGGAAGAGGCTGAAGGACAAGGAAGTCACCATACACCTCCCCAGCTGCAAAGATGGCTTAAGCATATTTTCCCCCCTAATGCAAGACCAGACCATGGGAAAATTGGGTCCATTTGTCCAACACACATTTATTTACCCTTTTGTGTGTTGTGTTGTGCCTATGACTGTGGGCACTGAGCACGTGAAGGTAAATAAGTCATTTCTTCTGCAGTCAAATAGTTTATTGAGGCGCAGCACGAGCAAACCCCGACAGCCTGCAGGATACCGTGTGCTCTATGATGGCGAGCATGGAGTGCCAAGGGAAGAAAAGAAGTTGGAGATGGTGTCAGAGAGTTTGGAAACATTTCACTAAGGAGGTTACACTTACACAATGTCTTGGAGGACTTTTAGGGGGTTTCCAGATAGAGGAAAGGTGGAGTCTGTCTGCATGAGCTCAGACAAAGACATCAGGGAAAAAATCCATGTGATGGGTAGGAATACAGAAAGGGTTGGGAGGTAAGGATGGAAATATGAGCCTGCAACCCGATGGGGGTGGCCATTGCATCCTTACCCAATGGGGTCATCTTCCTCCAGAAGGGAAGGAGGGACCCCAGAAAGACTTTGAGGTGGATGGCTGCAGCCTGGTTCAGACAGGTGGCTCTGAACAGAGGGAAAAGGGAACAGAAAAATTTAGGATGTCCTTGTGTTTCTCCAGACACAGTTGCAGCTCAGAGAACCGAGGGCACTCAGACCTTCACCCTTGACCTCTGCAACCTCCTCCACAGCCAGGTCTTCCAGATCCCAGAATATCAGCTCTCAATGAGCCCAGATTCATTATAATAAAGCCTCCATTTGGGAAGTATCTCAGTCCATTGAGGCCACTTTAACACAGCACCATAGACTAGGGGTCCTGTAAATGATAGACATCCATCTCTCATGTTCTGGGACTGGAAGTCCAAGGTCAAAAAGCCTGCAGATGCGGCGTCTGGGGAAACCTTTTCCCGGTTCATAGGCAGCATCCTTTCACTGTGTCTGCGTGTGGAGGAGGGACGGGGGGCTCTGTGGGGTCTATAAGGGCTCCCACCCCACCCTGACGGCCTCACCAAATGACCTCACCCCCTCCAAAAGGACCCCTCCTGATACCATCCCACTAGGCGTGGGGCTTCCACATATGGATTCGTGTGTGTGTGTGTGTGTGTGTGTGTGTGTGAGGGGGACACACATTCCTCCCATAGCAGGAACATTCATTGGCCATGCTGTCATTTACTCTTAAACTCCAAAGAGTAGAGCTTATACCAGACAAAGTTCATGTCACTGCAAACATTTCATCCCTACTCTCGGAACTTGCATGCCATTCAAAGGTGAACAGAGAATAAGATATGCAAAGCACGATTCATTTCGCAAAAGCAGGTCTGGTCCAGGCTGGTGAGTCCCGTTTGGTCTGAAGCCCGCTTGCCCCACTGGAATACGGGACATCGCTGCAGGAGGGCAGTATCGAAAGCCATGCACCAGTGTTGGTGCTTGCCTGCTCCTGAGCTGACACATCTGACTCAACGGGAAACTTTTGCCCATTCAATCAACTCTAAGTCAACACATTTCCATTGACTCCTATACACAAAGCACTGGGGAGGGTTCATTATTTATCAGGCAACCAAGAAGTATTTACGGAATGCCTCTCTATTACATTGTGCGGGAAATACCCCACAGTTATTCCTCCATCTCGCTGGATTAATGGGCCCCTTTAGATTTATACCAAAGGTTCTCCTTGCCCCAGACCACATGGGATGGGAATCCCTGTGTCATATTTCCAAGAATTCTTGAGTGTGGAGAAGGGTGGACAGTGTTCTGAATCACTTTGGGCTGCTAGCTGTGGTGGCTTTACAGGGTCACAAAGGAAGGGGACATGTGAAAATATCGAAGGCATCAAAGTGGCCCCATGAAAGCCACCCTCTACTTGGGAATGTATAAGAAAAGACATTCAGGTGGCAAGTGCCTGGGAAAGAAAAGGGGCCCACCCCGATGTCAGGGAGGGTGTGATTCGATCAGACATCGTCTGGGTGGAACAAGAGATGAAGAGAATTCAGCAAAGAGCCCCAGGTACAAACAGGGCTAAGAGAAGCCGTCCGAGGATGGGAGCCCAAGGGCTGGTTCCTGGAGCTGGACTGAGCTGAGCTGGAGTGGCTGCAGGGGGACGGGGTTCAGGGTCAGGGTTTGGGACTACTACGGGTATGAGGCACTCAGGGGACCCCAGAAAGGGAGCAGGGGGTATGCATGAACCCCATGTGGCTGCCATACCAAATCATCACCAACTGAGGGGCTTAATGCAATACAAATGTATCCTCTCCAGCTCTGGAGACCAGACGTCTGAGGTCCAGGCAGGGCTCTGAGCTCCAGGCAGGGCAGGGCTGAGCTCCCTCCACAGGCCCCAGGGGAGGCTCCTTCCTGCTTCTTCCAGAGTCTGGGGGCTCCAGGCAGCCCTGGGCATGTGGCCACATCCTTCTAGTCTCTGCCTACACCTCCATTCGGCTTCTCCTCTGTGACTGTGTCTCCTCTTCTGTCTCTGACGAGGACTCCTGTCCCTGGGTATAGGGCCACCCTCATCCACGAGGAGCCCATCTCAGAGCCTGCACTTAATCCCATCTGCAAAGATCCTGTTTCTACATTAGGACCACATTCCCAGGTTCTGGAGAGCAGGAAGAAAAGTTGGGGGGCGGCGGGGGTGGAGACACTACACAACCTGAAACAGAATACTGCCCAGACTCACTGCCCCTGGTGGCCAAGGCTGCCCGCTAGCCAGGGAGGCTCGGGAACTCCTGATATAATCCATAAAAGTCAATTCCCGGGGCAGAATCTTAGGAGAAGGATCTGGGGACCAGGCACAGATGTTCAGCCCATAAAAAAGTCACAGCCCAGCAATGGAAGCTTCCTTCCCTGGAGTTTACCTGTCGCCCGGCCTTTACCCTTAAGCATCGTGCGCCCAGAAAACTCAACTCTTTTAACTAAATGACTATGAAAAAGCATTTATTTCTATTCGGAGTCATAGAATGTTGCCTATTTTTTTTTTAAGTCAAACTAAAACCATTACTTCTGAAAGCCTCCTCCGAAGCTTTGTCAGGTAAATGAGGAAGGAATAAGCAAGTCCCTGAATAAATACAACATTATTCCACAAAGGGCACATTGCATTTCAGCTTATATTCGAGAAGAGGGTAAACAAAATTGACGGGTGAATTTGGGGGAGTGATTTCTCCCCGTGAGGTTTCACTGGCTAAACTGGAACTTGATATAAACACGTGCAGATGTATTTCTTCATGTCTGCATTTCCTGTTGGCACAAAGGATTTTGTTCCTTATCTATTCGTGACGAAGCTGATGGAAAAGTTGCTGTTAGAAAACTGAGATTTAGAAACGATGATGTAAGAGTGTCTGAAACGGTCTTTAATTATATGGGAAGTAGTGGTTTCTCTGTGCAAAGAGTGTATAAAGGAAAAGAAGCAAAAAACGTAGGAATAAAACGATTGTAGCCAAAAGCTTTAGGAAATGTTTTACGGTCCCAACAGCTTTTTTTCCTGTTTGAATGCCACTGAATGGCAGTGATAGGCGAGAAAAGAACACTTCATTTTGGGTTGTACCCACTAAAAAGCGAAGGCTAGCGACCATGTCCACTGACTTTATTACATGTGAGGCCACTTCAGGAATACAAAGTTGTTTCCTATGACATTTCAAGACACCTGCAAGCCAAAGGGAGTGGCTGACGTCCAGTGGCCGGAGCCTGGGGTGGTGGTCTTGGCCGGGCCCAGCCTCCCCTGGGGTGTCCAGCCTGTGATTCAGCCAGGGACTCGCGGAGGACGCTGTGGTCCTGATGGTGGGACTTCCGGGCGGCCGTAATCCCATGAGCCGACTCCTACAGTGAATCTCCTCTCATATCCATCTATGAACCTCCCGTGGGCTCTGCGTCTCTGGAGAACCCCGCGTGACACCGAGGGTCCTGGGGCAGAGAGTGCTGAGCAGCATGTCCTCCAAGAAGACCTCTCTGAGGACCTGGGGGTCCTGGGAAGCCATGTCAGTAAAGGGAGGGCTGCCTCCTGGAGCCCAGCCTCCCTCAGAACCTCCACAGGAACCAGCCTGCCTGACCCCTTGATTTCACACCTCTGGTCTCCAAAACTGGGAGAGGATACACCTCGATGGCTGTGAGCCCCCCAAGTTTGCAAAGCTGACTACCTCAGATGAGACACATTCTGACCATCTTTCCTGAAAAACACTTATGAGTCTATGCCGTTAGCAAAATCCCCTCTAAAAAAAAATGTGTCTGCATAGCGCTGTTCCTTCTCCGCCGGAGGGTGGGGATCTGCGGGGGAGTCCACAGCCAGAAAGGGTAAAGCCCCTGAGCATAGCTTGTGCTCATCCTGCAGCCGTGTTGAGTGGCTGTCTATCAACCAAGCTGAGCTCTGCCTGGACTCCTGGTCCACAGACACAGCGAGAGGACACATCGGGGTCTATGGAAGATGCTTGGTTTGCAGCAATTTGTTATGCATCGACAGAAAACAAATTTAGCCGGACAGCCCGCCTTGGGATTCTGCGGATAAGAGAATGCCCTGAAGCCGAACCACAAAACTGGGCTCGGAGGTTATTTCTGTGGTCTCTGCATGCCCTGGAGGCTAGGCATGCTCTTCTCGCCCTCCCAGTTTCCCTGGCAGCCCTGGGGCTCAGGCTTGCCCTCCCACCTCCACCTCCAGAGACACATACCTCTGCAATCCTTCACTGTGCCTGGAGCAGGATGCATGTGGTCCTCGCTCCCAGGATCCCAGTACTCACCTTGGAAGCAAGGAAGCAGGAAAATGTTGCTACAGCAGGGCTTGCCCCGCGCACAGGAAGGTTGTCCATATCCCATTCAACCCTCCGTGAGCAATGGGCTTTAGGAACAACACCATACTTGGCCCTAAAGTTCTCACGACGTGTGAAGGCAGCATCAAGCCAGGCTCCCACCCGTGACATCCCTTGTAGGTCATCCCATTGTGTTGGCCATACCATCCACTTAACAATATTTCATGTTAAATAGGAAGTTCCCTGCATCCCAGAACAGGGAGGGGTCTGTACTATTTGCAGCAGACAGCGCGTCAGGAAGCTGTGATTAATAACCATGCCTGGAGAACGCTGCAGAACAAACCCCACATGTCTTTCCGATTTGCCTAGAAATTCCATTTCTGTTCTCAACAGTTCCTGTACTTAAAACCGCCCTTTGGAAGGTTTGCAAAGTTTCAGCATCA